AGTGTGTGTGTGCATGAGTATGTAATGTGTGTAGTAGGGTGGGTTGGGGGAATGTGTACATCTATGATGTGTGTGTGTGCATGTATGTATGTATATATATATATATGTGTATATATAATATATATATACATACACACACATACACACACACATGTGGAGTGTGCTTTTAATACTTCCCTGCTGTATCATGCAGTTCAAAGTTGAACTTCAAGCTGTCTTCAGACAGCTTGGACATCAGTCCAGGACTCTTTAAAACCTAGCCTTGCCTGGTACCAGTGGCTCATGCCTGTAGTCCTAGCTACTCAGAAGGCTGAGATCTGGGTTTGAAGACAGCCCAGGCAGCAAAGTCTGTCTTACTGCCAATTAACCACCAAAATACCAAAAGTGGAGCTGAGACTCAACTGGTAGAGTGCCAGCCCGAGAACCAGCACTAAAGTCAAAAACAAAAACAAAGGAAAACCCTAAACACCTCCTCCTCCCTCTGTAGACATGTCTGACTTTTTCCTTCTTCACATTTCCTTGAATATTGCCTTTGAAGCTGCTAAGCCACAATAGCAGCCCTAGGTGATCAGTGTTCCAAACAACCTTGACTTTAAGGCAATAGAATTTCAAAGTGGGCAATGCCATCACTGACAGCCATTTGTATTTTGGTTACCCTGTTAAACTCAAATATAAACTGAGTTTTAAAAAGAAGTTGAACAAAAATATTCATTGTTCTTTGTTGTTGGATTTTTTTTCTTTCCTGTCTATCCAAAGCATATTTTCTTGTTTTTCTATGTTACCACAAGTTTGTTTGGTTTTTAAGTGTCTGGAGTATTTAGTGAGGCCTGGATGATGTGAGGATAGACCTCGGGACTCTCTGGGTGCATATTCTGCTGCATTTGACAGAAAGATGGAGGGTTGCAGGAAGGACAAATTAAACTTGCTTTGAGCTGAGCACCTGTGGCTCACGCCTGTAATCCTAGCTACTCAGGAGGCTGAGATCTGAGGATTGGGGTTCAAAATCAGCATGGGCAGGAATGTCTCTGAGTCTCTTATCTCCAATGAGCCAACAGAAAACCAGAGGTGGTGCTGTGGCTCAAAATGGTAGAGCAGGGGCTGAGAAGGTGGCTCAGTGGTAGAGCTCTTGCCTTGCATGCATGAGGCCCTGGGTTCGATTCCTCAGCACCACATAAGCAAAAAGAAAAAAGCCAGAAGTGGCACTGTGGCTCAAGTGGTAGAGTGCTAGCCTTGAGCTGAAGGGACAGCGCTCAGGCCCAGAGTTCAGGCCCCATGACCGGACCCAAAAAAAAAAAATGGTAGAGCACTAGCCTTGAGCAAAAGAGCTCAGGGACAGCACATAGGGCCCTAGTACAAGCCCATGACCAATAAAAATAAAATAAGTAAATAATAAACTTGCTTTGAGCTTTGAATGCTAGTGTTGCTCAGAAACATTTTCCATTCTTTATTAATTAATACCATAAGCTGCTGCTAAAATGATTTTCTGCTTCCTAGATGACCAATACTCTTCCCCCTTCAAACAGATACACACATTTCAGTATTCACTCTCCAGTGAGTAGATGAAATTTAAAGATGTATGGATCATCATTCTTGTGTGCAATGCCCTAATATTACTTATGATTCATCGGCATTTCTATAAGAGGAAAAACTTTCATATGATTGTTCTGTATACAAATTTTCAAGGAAGCTGAAAAACATCTAGGGCCTTTTTCAATTTAGAAAAAAAAAGAGTATAACTACTGTAAAAGGTAACTTAAAAGGTGCTGGGCCTGTGAGTTAACTAAAAGCAGGATAAGAACTGGATACTCCGTCCTCACTCCCACTTTACATCAGTATCCATTGATTTGAGCCATTTTCTCCTGCAGTTACTTCACAATCACCTTGGGCTCTGGGAAAGACTGGATTTACCACCAATAAGCATCTTGTAGAAAAAGACAAACTGTCCTTCAGTCAGGCAATGCCTTCTTATCATCTTGTGGTAAAAGGTGAAACTGGCCTAAAAAGAACAGCTAAGATTTCAGGAATCCACCAGCCACGCAACTTGTTCCTGTTCCCTTCCAGTGGTGAAGCGGTAATGTCTTTAGAACCCCATCTGAGCAATCTTGAAACAATGGACTATCAGGCCACCTGACACCACCTCTGCCCACCTCTGAACATGCCTGTGATTTGGGATTATTTTAACTATGCATACCTTTTCATCTCCTATCCTCAATTTTCCCTATAAAACTAAAACAAATGTCTGGACCACTGAAGACAGCTGAAAGATATATTGAAGTGCTGTCTTTCCATGGCTGCCATGTAATCAATCTCCTTTATCTAGCTGTCTTTCACTATGTGGCAAACAGGGGCCAGATAAAGAGACATGGCCTTAGAGGAATGGCTCAAGTGGTAGAGCACCTGCCTATCAAACACAAGGCCTAAAGTTCAAACCCCAGGACCACCAAAAAGAAAAATACATCAAAGAGAACAGTAAGTCTTTTCACAAACTCTAAGCCTTCAGATTTTATAATTGATATTCGGTCATATGATTATTCATGTCTATCTACCAAAAGTAAGGATTGTTATTAGTATTAAGCTCAACTTTGGTCCTCAGCTCCACCCAGACCTGAGCCCCTCCCATCCCTGGAGTTCCCTCTGTACAGTTGGCCCCTCCCCCTCACCTTCCAGACCCACCTGAGCTCCCATCTACCTCACTCCCGACCCTCAGACCCTCCTGTTATCTGGATGGTGAAGGGTGCCATGTGCTCCCTCTTGGAGGAAATATGGCTCCTCCAATAAACCTTGTAATCACCTTTCTCCTGTGCCTGCCTGCCTCTGCGTGGTCCCCTGGGATGGATGTGTGGGATCCTTCAAGGATACCAAATGAATTACTCAAAAATCAGTAAATAACACCAAATTAAGTTTTATGCCAGTTTCATTACTTTAAAATAAGTTTGTGGTTTTAAACTTAATATGGTAAGAGTTTGCACATGTGCACCAACAGAGGGCCATGTGATCATTTGAGTCAAAGGTGCACACAAGAAATGAAATTATCCTTCAGTGTCTCATTTCCTTTCTGCGTGATTGCAAACTTCTCCAGGAAAGCAGAGACCACGGCTGAGTTTATGTTCACACGATGCTGAGGGGGTGAATCAACCACAGTATAGAAGACTCATCATGCCTTCTGGACCCCTGGGTAATTGAGATCCCAGAATATATATGAACTCTGAGCACATCCAGTCTGACATGAATCTTGGAATAACAACTGCTAGTGCTAGGCTAATTCACAAAACCTTGTATGAACAGAACACTAAATCAGACAGAATAGACTTAGTATGTTTGTCATTGTTTTGCCACACCTGATCTTTAGAACTAGATGTCTGTCTTCAATTTAAAGCAAAACCAAAGCTCTGAGAACTGTCTCTCAATTTGAAAGCTACCCTCTACAATCTACATGACATATATAAATAACTTACAGCTTTGCCAAGATCTATTTGTCTATTGTAAATGTAGGCTTTTTTTTTGTTGGGGGGGAGAGAATAGCAATTGTAATACTACTACTCTGGAAGTAATTAATATACTCTATTAATAGTTAACCTCAAAGTTGTCAGGGCTTTTTGTTTTGATTTTGTTTTAGCTCCTTGATAAATAATTTAAATAAGCAATACAAGAAGAATATTCATTTTTCTTTATGGTAAACTGAACTAAATGTGCATATCTTATGCTGATCCCTTTTGACAAAATACAATGATCCATATTCAGAAGCTGAGGAAGCAGGTCAAATTAAAATGCAGACTCAAGAGGGGGTGAGGCTCTATTTTTAACACCAGTGGTCACATTGTTTAGAGGTGCTTCTTTGGCAGTTAAAGATAACCCACAAAGAAATGTTACTTTGGTAATTTGATTCCAAAATTCCCAAGATACTACATTTTCCCTGAAGATGCATTCTGCTGAATTTTTGAATTGGCTCTGCAGCTCTTATTTACAGATATAGTAGAGGTTTCTCAATGAAATTAATGCATGTGGAGTAGAGTTTGTGGCTCATATCTTTTCAATAAAAGAATCATGTCCTGAGTAAAATAAAGCCATCTAGATTGTTCCCTGCTTTGCCTGGAAGTGTGTCCAGTTGTAAGGTTGTGTCTGGCTACCGAAAGCATAGGCAAAAGGAAATAAGAGCTTGGTAGATTAACTGAACTATGGTCAGTCTTTGCCCCTTAACTATCATGGTATGATTGAATAAGGGAGACATTCTCCTAAGCACATTATGATTTTCTAATTCTTTACACGGCAAGTAAAACTTTTTTCTACCCTGTGGCTCCCTGGCCCAAGCTTAGGCCCCTTGGCGCCTATTTAAATGGAAGCCTACAGTTACTGGAAAAAATAGTCCCGAATTTTCTTCTCTCTGCTGTAAACCAAAACCATGCCTTAAGGAATGAAAGACAACATATCAAAGATAACTTTTCTGGACCAGAAAGTACAATCTGTCTGCTTGGAAGCAAGACAGATTTGGTGTTGCCCTGCCAAGGGCTGTGGTAGAAAGAACCTGTCTACCCTACCACCAGGGAAGGCGCAGCAGGCACCGCCACTCTGCGCTTCTGTCCTCGCGGAGGGGACTGCCCACAGCTTCACAAGTGTGTTTCATAAACATCAACTAGGCCAGACCTTGGGATAGGCACCCAGGGATAGGCCCCTACAGGTAAAAGAGGCACTGGTTCTGATGAAGCCAGGTGGAAAAGCAAGCCAAAAGGGTGGATCCTAGGTCAAAGCAGGTCGAGTGAAGCCACTTTCCCTGTCCCCCCTCCTGCCACACCATGGATTCTAGAAAAGCACATTTCTAGTTGATCTGATTGCTAAGAAGTGCGCCTCTCCTGTGACTTCTGAGGCAGGGAGTGTTCCCCACACCCTGGGGCTTCAGGAAAGGGGTCGGTCCCCAGAGAGTCCCCCATCCCACCCCCACCCCCGAGGATCCTCTGCCAAGTTGGCCCGCCCGCCTCCCCCCCCCCCCACCTCCCTGTACCCACCTTGACGACATAGGTGACTCCGGGCCCCAGCACCTGGTCGCTGGAGTGTGGCACCCCCCGAGGGGGCCTGGGCAGTGGCTCGTCGCCCGGCCGGCCCTTCCTGCCGGTGCTCATGCTGACAGCCGGGGCGCGGGGGGCCGGGGGCGCGCTGCTGTCCCGGGCGGCCAGGCTGGGCGCGCTGCAGCTCCCCGAGAGCCGCGCTCCCGCCCGCTCCCGGCCGGCCGACGACAGGCCGCGGAGGCCCGAGCTGGAGAGTTTCAGGTGGGACACCTTGTGAAGCAGGTGGCCCAGGCTGCCGGGCCCATCTTCGGACGCCTTTCGCAGCCCCTCGCCGGACACCAGGTAGGGGGTCGCCGCCCGGGTGGTGCGCTCGGCGGAGACCTTGCTGCCACGGCCACCACCGCTTACCGACAAGCTGTGGAGAAGGTCATCGACCGATGTCACCGAGTCATTCCTGAAGCGGTTGTACTTGGTGCGTGGAAGCATGCCCCTCTATGGGCTCGCCGCATCCGCCCCGGCGCTGCTGCTGCTGCTGCTGCCGCCGGCCCCGGCGCGGGCTGCCGCGCATAGCAGATGAGCCTCGGTTCCCCCCCCTCCCCTCCCTCCACGGGACAAGGAGCAGGGAGGTCCTAGGACAGTCTTCCAGAGGAGGGGAGGGGGGGAGCGCAGGAGTGAAGAGGACCGAGCCCTCCAACCATCAAAAGCCAGCAGAGCCACAGCCGCGCAGCCCCCGCCCGGGAGACCGCCGCTCGGGGTTGGATGTGTGGTTTGCCAAAGTCATAGTTGCCTCGGATGGAGAGCGCCCAGCTCTCACGGAAAATGCATGACTCACTGTGAGAGGAGACCCTTCTCAACAAAGGCTCGGTGAGCACTGCGTATCACTTCCTGTATCAAGAAAGAGGAGGAAAAAGAAGGGGGGGGGGAAAGAAATCTGACATCCACTCGTTGACAGCAACTGGAACCAATCGTTTCTCAAATGCCTTTTCCCCCCTACCTTCCCAGATATTTTCTTTCCAACCTTTTTTTTTCACCCCCCCATCTCTCCCCTACCCTCGATCCAGTATCTGTGCCAAAGGGTAAATCCAGTTCCTTCCAATGATCAGATGAACTTTTTGCAAACCAATTATTCCGTGGTAGGGTTGTTTTCTTTTTCTTTTCTGTTCTCTGTTCAGCTCATCTGTGTGAGCCCTAAAGCCGATAGGGAAGCATTAAAATGTGACGAAGCCTTTTTCCCCCCACTTCTGAAGAAGTCTTCAGTGGATCCTGATGAATTCTTATTCGGAAAGCAGCAAGATTTTAAAATAAAAACTGAAAAAAAAGCAAAAGACAAAAGAAGGAGAGGATATAGTCACCCCTACTTGAACATAAAATACCAGTTTGATATTGGTAGGTTCAGGGCTTTTCTTTTCCATCTCAGATCAACAGAGCAGCCATGACGAATGTCTTTGTGGCAATGCAGCTCTTCCGGAAAAACATTTTTTAAAAAACTAAAAAATAAATCTGCGTATGAACTTCTGCACAGTGCATCTGTCACAGGGTCTTTCCTGCTGGAATACAGCGGTCTTTCTCAGCCAGGGTTAAGTTAAAAATACATTTCCAAAAAGGAAAAGTGCTTCTTTGATAGGTGGCAACAGGCTCCAGAAATCCATTCCAAAGAAGAGGCAGCTTTTCAAGCTTCTTTCCAACAGAATGTGTTTAAGCTCTGGGAAAAAATGACTAAGAAATGCGACCAATACATTTCAGTGTTTCTTCCGTCACTGCTGCTCAGAGCCCTGCAGTCAAGAAGAAGAAAATGCAACCACTCAATAAGAGGACGTCAAATCTATGGGGGGGGCGGGGGGGGGGGATTGGAGGGAGATGCTTTGGGTTTTTTTGTTTTGTTTTGTTCTGTTTTTCAGGAGTCAGGCTCAGGCCTTGCAGTGACATGCATGTGCAGGCCTTCTTCCTCCCAGTTAGAACAAGGCTTTGGCAGCCCCTAGAAGGTCTGCTCCCAGACTCTTGAGACCCACTTAGCCCTTCCTCCATGGTCTCTGCCAGTCAGCCTTACACAATTAATAACCTGCCACACAGTGAGTGACACACGAGCTGTCAAAGTGTCCCAGTAATTTCCTCTGCAAACAAATGAATTCACCTCTAGCACACTATCATCAGGTCACCCCGAGTCTCCTCACATCCAGAACTGAACATGGGTGACACATGAGATCGAGCTTGGTGGAATGGGGGTTTCATGAGGCCACTCATGAGGGGCACCCAAGCGAAGCCAGCTCCCAGGAGACAGGAGTGCAAAGAAGCCCCGCCATCCCCCACCCAGGAAACACGTCCCCAAGGCCTCTCCTCTAGCGCTGCAGCCCTAGCCAAACAGCCACCCGGCACTCACTTTTTTTTCCTTCCCCTCGCTTGCATAGCAACCACAAATGCACACCCCACAGGCAATTTTGATGGTTATCAGAATGCCCCTCAAATCTGAAGCCAAACAGCCCCGTCATTCTCAAACCGTGCTCTTCATTAGAAGCAGACAAAAACTGTAAAAAAAAAAAAAATGTGAATGAAATGCTGTTTGTGTGAATGAAAGGGCTAGCGAGCGAGCGTTTCTGTGAATGAAGCCCGGCCTTGCAGCCGCTGCCAGGCAATCCCTCTGGGCTCCAGGGGCCTTAGCCAATGAGCAGCCGCGCCGATGACTCATTCAACAAAGGCTCGCTCAATAGTGGAAGATTCCATTTCAATCAAGGGCGGGATCTTTTATCCAACTGCAGTGTGGGAAGAAGAAAAAAAAAAAGAGGGAAAAAAATCCACCCAGCTTCATCACAAAGATGCTGGGGGCGGGGGGGGGGGAGGAGAGGGGGAACAGAAGAGGGCAGCTGTTATGGATAGAGATAGAGAAGAAAGAGAGAGACACAGAGAGACAGACACAGAGACAGAGGGAGAAAGTAGATTTAAAAGGAAATTCAAGAAGATCGGGTCATGTCTGAAAGTGAACAGGACCAGCCTCTTGGAGGTGAGCAGCGGGGCCCCAAACTTTCATTCACCCTTTCATCGACATCAAGCATCAAGGCGCATCATGAAAGTGCCATTCGGTTCAGCTTTTATTATGAATGTACACTGAATGTGCATTCAAAGCCTAAGCTCCTGGCCCTTGATTTTCCTTTTATAAAGGAATAGAGAACACCTCTGTGGCTGTCTTCAAGGAGGAAAATTCCAGAGCTAACAGAGTTAACCCTTTAGCCCACAGCAGACTTTGAGTTCTTTTACCTTATTGAGTTCTTTTATTTTTCTGAATGGAGGGAAAGGAGTCCTTTAAAAATGTGAATAACTGTACAAAATTTATTACATATGAAAAGATATATATACCCAAAGACTATGATTAATATTCCAAGAGCATAATAGTGCAGTAAAGCTACACATATCTGGAGGACGGCATGAACATTTTGAAACATAAGAGAAAAGCAGAAAAGCCTAACAGTGTCTCAGCAGAGAATAGAGCTGCCAAGTCGCTCATTCACAAGATAGATCTTTATTCTCCCTGGGGAGTTGTGCAGGGTTATTTTAGGCCCTATTCCCCAAAGCCTAAGTCTTTGGTTTATCAACTGGAAACACCTAGAAACGGATGAGAGGAAAGATTACTATGTTAGGTAATGGTAAATTTAGACAAAATTTTCATAGAGTGTGTGATGGTCTGTATATAGACTGTCCTCTCTGAAAACTATTGCAATCTAATCTTGGTGAGGTATTATTTAAAGAGTAGATACTTAATATGACCAGGGGTGTTGAATGATCTGATTGAATCTCAGTGGCTTTATAAAAAGAAGGAGACTAGACAGGACACACACACACACACACACACACACATGCACTTACTGAGCTACATTGGGACTTTGCCAATAGGAGACATCGCCAGATGCAGCCCCATGAACCTTGGACCAGAACCATGAGCCATAATAACTCTTCTGGTCATGAGATTGTGTTCTTAGTAATACAAAACAGACTACAAGGATCTAACAACATTTTTTTTTTTGGTCGGTCAAGGGGCTTGAACTCTGGGCCTGGGCGCTGTCCCTCAGCTCTTCAGCTCAAGGCGAGCGCTCTACCACTTGAGCTATAGCGCCACTTCCGGTTTTCTGGTGGCTTATTGGAGATAGTAGTCTCACGGTCTCTACTGCCCAGGCTGGCTTTGAACCGCGATCCTCAGATCTCAGCCTCCTGAGTAGCTAGGATTACAGGTGTGAGCCACCAGCGCCCGGCTTCTAACAACATTTTTTAAAAAGTACTCTGACTCTGAACCTCCGTGAAGGAGCTAACGGAGAGGTCTCCTTATCCCTAAGACCCTAAGAGATAAGCAGGGAGCCAAGACACCTAAGGGCTAAAAAGATATTTAGATATTGATAAAATCATATCCTGGATTTCTTGTGTTAATAGAAAGACTTGTGACACACAAAAGGGTGTAACTGAACCTGAACCCTATAGAAAATGATAGCCCTAGTCTGACCATCCAAAGCTAAGAAATCCTCCAGTTTATATGTAGAAAGTGTCAATAATATAGTATTCAGTCTCAAGAAGTTAACAGCACATAACCTAATTTTCCAGGAATGATGACCTATGTCTACAAGCTTGCGATCTGTGGGGGGCATTCAGGGCAGTTCTTAAGCCTTCCCACATTCCCATCTAGACAGTGCATTTTGGCTTTGTTTTGCATCAAAAACCTACTCCCAGTTGTATCTCCTTCATGTCTCTTCTTGAATTCTTTCTCAAACAAGACCAAGAATTTTTCACACCCTAGACCTAGTCAACAGAATCTAATAACAACAACATCCAGCATCAGTGACTGAAAAGAGTGCAGAACAATGCCCACATTTCTTCCCTGTATGATCAGGCTGAGGGGTGGAAGGGTCCTATCCATCAGAGTGTGCTGAACAGGCAGATGAGAGGGAACGGTGAAATGCATATGAGTGGTGGATTTTTTTTATTTTTATTTTTATTTTTGTCAGTCATGGGTCTTGAACTCTGGGCTTGGGCGCTATCCCTGTGCTCTTCAGCTCAAGGTGAGCGCTCTACCACTTGAGCCACAGCGCCATTTCTGTTTCTTTTTTTCTAGTGGTTCATTGGAAATAAGAGTCTCACGGACTTTTCTGCTGGGGCTGGCTTTGAACTGTGATCCTCAGATCTCAGCCTCCTGAGTAGCTAGGATTACAGGCGTGAGCCACCGGTGACTGGCTGGTGGCTTTTTTTTTTTTCACATAGACGTGTCCTGTGCTGATGAGCAGACTGGTTGAAACCTGAAAATGCTAAATTTGCCAGATGGCAGCTGAGAAAAAAAAGTCAAGATGCCAGGTATGGTGGTTCATGCCTAGAATCCCAATGCTCAGGAAGCAGAGGCAAAGAGGATCTTATTTTAACCCCAGCCAAACCTACAGAGTAAGGACTCTCCCCAGCTCCCCCAGCCCAGCCCCAACCATTTCAAATAATGTCAGAGGCAAGCTGTTTGCCAGTGGCTCATAACTGCAATCCCAGCTATTCAGGAGGATGAGATCTGAGAATTGTGGTTTGAAGTCAACACAGCAGGAAAGTCCATGAGACTTAACCACCAAAAAGCCTGAAGTGGAGCTGTGGCTCAGTGGTAGAGTGCCATCCTTGAGCACAAAAGCTCAGGGTAACATTCAGACTCTGAGTTCAAACCCTAGAACAACTAAAAAAAAAAAGGTCAGATTTTACAGAATAAATATGGAAACCCAGTTTAGTAAATTCCATGAAAGAATGAGTATGAAGAGACAGTGGTGGTTAGCAGTCATGACCCACCATAACTTGATGGGTAAGTAATTCCAGCAAATACCATAGCAGCAAAGCATAGCAGTTATACATGAAGAGTTTATATTCCATTTTGCACAAAAGAAAGCATTGTGCCAAGACCACACTGAGTTAGGAACAAAAAGGATAATCTAGCTCTAAAAGGGTAGATTAGTTGGGATCTAAATCCCCGGGACAACCTCTTGGCTTCGCAGGCTGGAACTAGATGCAAAAGACATATTATTTTAAAACATCTTCAAAGCCATGCCTCACTCCAATTTAAGGAGGCTGTATAAAGTGGCTATTGAGACCTCTCTCAATAGGTGATGGTGCACATCCCTGCAGATCTTAGCAAAGAGAATGATAGCAACTGAAAGAGAGACAAAAAGTGAGTGAAAAATAACTAGTATTTGTCTGGGACAGCAGTAAAGGTCAAAAGCTATGTACATGTGACCAGATTAGATGATGTTAAGTGAAATGAACCCCAAGGTAGGGACACAAGTGTTTTTTTTTCTTTCTTGCTATTGTTTCTAACATATCTATAATGTACCATGTGATTTTTTTTGTTGCTTTGTATGTTCCTCCCCTATTTTCACTGTATTTGATGTTGGTCTAATTTGGGGAGGGGAAGAGAAAAAACAAAATGCTTAAATAGGGATACAGGTTGATCCATTATAACAATGAGATGCACAAGACACTATGTTGAAAAACGAACTACAATTTAGGCTGGGGAGGGTACGGGGGGCGGGGGGATAGTTGTGGAGGTGGGAGGGAAGGGATGGTAGGGGAAAAACAAAGGAGAAGGCAACAATGCTTGATAGGAAATGTAGTCATTACATTGCTCATGTAACTGTAACCCCTCTGTACAGTAGTTTGACAATAAAAAACTTATTTTAAAGAAGCAAAAAAAAGTGAGTGAAAAGACCATATTTTACAGGAGAAGGAATGAAATGGAAGGTAAAATAACATACCATACGTGTACATTCAGCAGAGCACACAGAAGATGACAGAAGAGCTAGAATCTGTTTAGACTATGAGAGCAAAATAGAGGAGAGACATTAACAAGCAGGAAAGAGAGAAAGTGCAGAATGTAAGTTTTGTGTTCAAAGTGTAGCATCTCGCCCTTAGGAAGGAAGAACAAATTGAAAGATCCTTGAAGGCCCAGGTAAGAAATGAGTCCCCTCCTGTATATCTCATAGAGACAGGTTCAAGTCACCTGAAAGGACAGTTGATAGACAAAGAATTCATAAGATATGAAAGCCATTTATGGCTTTAGGGCAGAAAGAACGGAAAGAAACTGAGTCACTCTTGAACCAGTAGAATTTCAGAAAAGAAGCTGTCAAAATGAGTTGTAGTTTAGAGAACTAATCACTGGCAGAAAAGAGACAGCAGGAAAAATAAATATCCAGCCCTCTCTTTTCCCACTCTCTGATTACCTGTCAGTGCTCCCCATTGACCAAACCCATAAGAAGCTAGCAGTCATTCGGGTACTGGATCAAGCTGAGGCACAGAGCTGGCTGTGAAGAGCAGAGCCTACATCATGAGTAGACACACTGGCAGAGAAATTTGTCTGTGGCCATGTTAGGAACTCAAAAGACATTATGATTATATCCCTTGGGACCTACCAAGAACATCACAAGCCAAGATATTATAAAGACATTTGCACATCCATTTGTATATTGCTGCACTATTCACAATATCCAGGGTATGGAAACAGTGCAAATGCCCTACACTAGGTGAGTGGATTCCAAAAAATGTGTCATTTGGAAGTGGTGCTGTGGCTCAAGTGGTAGAGCTCTAGCCTTGAGCTGAAGAGCTGAGGGACAGCACCCATGCCCAGAGTTCAAGCCCCATGACCGACAAAAAAAATTAATAAAAAAATGTGTCATCTATACACAATGGCTGGTGATATGTCATGGAGTAGAGACATTGTCATTCTTCCCTTATTATTGGGCTCTTTGGGTATTTCTAATATGTCAATGCCAACCCAAAACAAAGTATTACGTATAGCTCCTGCTTTGTAGCCACTGAATTATTTCTCAGTATACTCAATCACAAAGGGAAAAAGTCTGTCATTCTTGATTATTGTTGTCTTAATCAGTTTTCCATTACCATTAAAAAAATAACTGAGATATCCAAGTGTAGTGGTACAAGACTGTATTCCCAGCACTTAGAAGGCAGAGGCAGGAGTGAAGTCCAAGTCAGCCTAGACCTTACTCCTCAAATGAGATGGGACCTTACCTCAAACACAAAATACAAGGGGTGGGGGGGGGGGGGGGGTGGAGTGGGTGGGAGG